AGATAGATAGATAGATAGATAGATAGATAGATAGATAGATAGATAGACAGCCACTCATGCTTTCACAAAGAGGAAGGAAAATGAGGACAAGAAGGAGAAACAGTGATCCAGTGATTACAAGAATAGAAAGAGTCCACGGCATTTTCCTCTACTACGAGTGGCTCCAACAGTTCAATGTTTTGTTAGGAAGCAACCTAGATATTTGCTCCCTACCTGAAAAATGTGTGGTGCTCCACACACACTTTCCAAAGGCGCTTGGCAGCTCGATGGTTCGGCAGCTTGAAGCCAATGGTGCTTTCAAATTGCTCAAACTAAAACAAAACAAACCAGGAGATTACAGTTGACCTGGTATTATTAATAAAAGATCTGACTGATGATGCCATCATAACCCTTTTTGTGACTTACAGAGTCAGCTGTTACGCTGAGATTTCATACTAAGGAATCCGTTCATTTTTAACCCACTCTTATCTTTCGACTTAAAACGTGTTAAGCGTAGATAACTGTGTTACGCACGCACTGTTCTGCAAATCACTCGCTTTATATAATCTGAACTCACATCAGGGAGATGTGTGAACCCCCTGAGCGACCATGTCATCCTGGTCTCATTTTAAGTCATTTTCATATTTTGTCAAGGGCATGGGGACTTGAACTAAAATGCTCCAAAAGTAACATAGCGCATTGCACATGCAGAAACAATATTATTTTCTCCTAGTACCTGTATGTCCTTTCTCCATAGCTGATGCCTGCCTAGCCAAGGTCCCCCATGTGTCCTGCTGTGGGTTACAATCCTGACTGCTAATGTACGTCACAGACTGGCTAAGCAAATTTTCACATTTTCTCACTTGTTGGTAATCTTCAGATGATACTGTCATTTAAGCTTTTAAGATAAGTATCTGTTCTTCTGTACTACATTTTAATATTATTATTTCAGATGCACAGCCTGCTTTCAGTGTCTGCAGGCATCACGCGTCAGGCCAGCAGAGGGCAACCACCTTATACATAAAGGCTTATTCCAGAGAGCACAGAACAACCAGGGTTGGTATCAGCAGCAAAAGTAATTCATGGGGCAAAGCACCAAGGTGAGGGAGTCAAGTAAGCGTAGCATGGGAGATACGATTATGGCTGACCTCTCACACTCTCTCGTTTGCTTGGGTAACTGGGGGAAAATTGAGAAATACATCAGAATTTGCCTTCCCCAGCTTCATGTTTGCTTCATGAAGAGTGGTCGCTAGAAAAACTCTTGCTGTCTGAAGGTCCGAGTTCTGAGTAGGTACTGTGGCTGCTGACTAAACACCATCCTTTAGCCCTGCATCTGCCATCTACGAGCAGCATGCCTCTCCCCAGGCCAGGGGCCATTGAGGGTCATCTCACTCTCTGTGCAAGACACTAGGGGCAATCTCTCTTCTCTCTTTGAGAAGTTTCAAAATGTTTACTGTCATAGAATAATTGTACATCCTCCTGCAGTGTACTGAGACTTTCAAAGGACACACAATGTCACAATCAGATGAGGGGCTGCTCGCAATACTCATCTCCTCAAACACATAGGATTTAATGCTGGGAATACTCAAAATCATCTCTACCGGGTGTTTTAAGGTGTGAGATTCACTGTCAACTCTATTTACCAGATGAGCTTCAGAGCCCCGAAAGCTCTTCCTCCCATCCCAGTGCAGCTGGATCTGGCAGCCATCATTCTTCTAACTCAGCTCCTCTTCCAGCCTTTAGAAACCCTCACTCTTCTCTCCAGTCCCAGCTGCTCAGTAGCGGGAACAGACAGGCTTGCCACTCTGGCTGGTGTCCGCAGAGCTTGTGTGGCACTGGTAGTTTTGACCATCACGTGGACTTGGTCCCCTACCGCCAGTGGCTGTCCACTTCACCCTATGCTGCTCCTCTGCCTGCCCTTCTCCTGGACAGCGAGGGATATTGTTTTTATTAGGGTCTCCTTTGGAACCCTGCTTGTTTTTTGGGCAATTTATGCCACGCCTAAGGCCTGCAATAAGTTGTATACATCTAGTGAATGCTTACTGTCAACTGTGCAAAAACTAATCCCTACAGTCTGCCCTCACCTGGACAAGTCTACCAAGAGGCTGGGTCACTGTAACATTTTTTAAAAAGACTTTTGTTTCATATTGTCTCTGACCTCATTTCTCCGTTCTGATTCTTAAAACACTAAAAAAGGGCAAAGTGTTAATATTTTTAGCCAAGAGAAACCAAAGAGCAGGAAATGGATCTGTGCCAAAAGAATTGCAATCTTATTTTCTGAAAACTTGCCCCAACTTTTCCTTCATGTTGAAAATCATCTGTCAACGTCACTCATGGGAAAAGAAATCTCTGAGCCTTCTGGAAGCTTCTCCCTTTATCCCATCTCCATCCTGCTCCAAAGTTGACCAGTTTTAGCCAGAACCTCCTCACGGACTGCTTCCTCCATTCTTTGCTCACAGCCTCCAGGCTGCTTGGGTCATTATCACATTGCCACGCTATGTAGTTGGATTTAATTATGAAACCTATGAAAGCAAAGTATTCCTCCCGGGTGCTACGTCCTTATTTAAACCTCCTATGGCTCATGGCTGTCCATTAGTTCATGTCACCCACCCTCCCTTCCGACCTCCCTGACCGCTCCCCGCACACCTACAGAACACCATCTCGTGTGTAATGTGGCATACAGCTTCCAGCGCTCACTGCTTCTCCGCTCGGTAGAAAGGAACAGGTAATAGTCATCCGTTTCCAACGCTCAACATACCGTCTGACGAGAAACTGCTGCTCACTCAGGTTTTAACTTAATTCAAGTGAATATGTGTGCATTAAGTGTTTATGGTACAATCTTTAGGAAATATATTTTTAAAAACACGAGAATTTCGGGTATAGTCGTCTGAAGTGCATACTATGTCGTAGATAATTATGATTTTAAATTTATAGTAAATTTGATTCTTGCTCTGTATTTTAACTTTTAAACTTTCAATGTCTTGACGGCAGGCATGCGTTGCACCATTTGCGTGCTTGGTGCCTGTGGGGCCATCTGGAGGAGGGTATCTTACCCTCTGGAAATGGAGGTACAGATGTCTGTGAGCCACCGTGTGGGTGCTGGGAATTGAATCTGGTTGCCTGCAAGAGCGGCAAGTGCACTTATCAGGAGAGCCGTTTCTCCAGCCTTCTATCTTAACTGTGAAAAAATGACTTTTCCCAACAAGAACCTTCATGGAGAGGTAAAATCCCGAGAGAGAAGATCCTTGTATTATACCAGGAAGTGTTTCAGAGACACAGATGAGCAGCGATCCTTGAGCTTGACAGCCTTTAACATTTTCACCACACCTACTAGAAATTTTAGCTATTTATTAACGTTCTCCTAACCGGGTTGGGGGGGGAATAGCAGGTATTTACAGCTTAACATGTACAAATCACCCAGGAAGATGGAAGTCCACTGTGCAGGTTGTCGGCTCAAAGAGCATAACAATTCTTACTCTTTTACTAGTTTCTCTGATTAATAAGAAAGCTAAATAATTCGCACTCAGAACTCCATTCCAACGCTTCTTACACTTTAAAGCATGCTGTCTTGAAGCTACTGACTTGAGCACTGAGATTTACAGGTGAATGAAATAAGAAAGAGAATTAAACAGGACACAAGGGAAGAGAGATATTCACCACAGCTTGAAGTATAAAATAAATTAGTTACGAATCTTGATTCTACATTAAAATATGATTTTGAAAGTTCTTTCAGTTAATGTATGAAATTGGTTAAAAAAAAACTAGATTAAGCTAATAAAGAAGAGAACATTCTGCTACTATTTAATGAAGAAACTCACAACAAATTCTCAGAGGCATTTGGACACAGTTCCCTCTGTCCTACAATGCTTGGAGCCACTAACACAGGGTTTATATTTCTGCTTGTAGTCGGGAGCTTCCTTCCAAAGCCTGGAAGACATGGATGTACTCACCTCTCCTGGCCGGATTTTAATGTAAAAGTTGTTCCGCTTGTAAGAAATTTTTAGGACCTTGGGCCAAGCAAATCTGTTTATTCGAAGCCGGTCACGATATATCAATAGGCCACTCGCACAGACTCCTAACATAATTTCTACTCCTTCCGAATCCTGGAAGAAATAATGCAGCAAGATCTTACTTAATTTCCATTTTCTGCAGGTACAAGATTTAGGACTCCATGACGGAAGATATAACCGACTAATTTAAATATGAAAAATACTGCTGTAGTTTTAAAAATGCCACTACTACATAATAGCATTTTAATGATGATATTTTTCACTGTGGAGGGCTGGTGAAGTTAAATCAATTCACCCGAGCATATGGGACTTGTAGCACTAATTCTGCACACAGAGTGTACACACACACACACACACACACACACACACACACACACGACACACACACAACACACACAACACACACATACCACACACAACACATACACACTCACATACACCCATTCATGAATACTCGCAAACGCACAAATGTGTGCGTTCGTACACACTTGGAAATACTAAAGTTTGAAAAACATACGACAGAGTTTAAAATCAAATATTTTTTTTCTTGGAAACACACTACTACCTTTGACACCAACTTATTCCATAAAGTGAAACGCTTTGAAGCCAGGGTTTTATATTATAACAAAGCGAGAGAAAACCCCTACTGGCAGGGCTTTGATATGAAGGGGCAACTTAAGAACTTGTAAGCAGATGCCAAGTGACAGGTATTTATCCTTGAGAACCAGCCAAAGAGAGAGCACCGAGATTTACAGGTGAATGAAATAAAAAGCGGAATTGGTCACTATGGTCACTCAGGGGCCCACTTCAGAGTGCAAGTAGACGGGCCAGAGCCGCTTCAACAATGGCTCTTTGGGTCACTTTCTTTGGATACAGACAATTTCGTGTCCTTGTCCAAAGAAGAAAAGGATATTCAAAACCATCTTCATTAGTGAGTATATTCATCACCTATTAGTGTCACTAAGCTTAAAGAAAACAGTGCCCCTCACAGAGACGTTAAGGGAAGGCGCACCCCTCCTCTTCCACGCGTTCACCATGCGTGGCTCTGCATCCCCAACCCTTCATCACCTGCACACCTGTCAGCCAGCAGTGCTGAGAACAAGCCTCCCTTCCTCCCGTCCCCTGGCTAGAACCACACCTGCTTTGCCACTGTGACTGGTCGGCAAAGGGCCTGCCCAGCATGTTTCAAAGTCAGCATGCTGAAAGCAAAGGTGAATGAAAACCGAAAACAGGAAGTCTCTAGCCCCTGAAATACACAACAGCAAAAGACGCTTCTGCAGCAAAACTTCTGCCGTGGGCTACAGATTGAGCTAATCTCAAGGAGTCTTAATAAAGTCTTCAGTGTCCTTCTTGGAGGCCATTTCTCTAGGGTGATGTCCACGTGCCTACTGCAGACAGACCCGAGTGTGCCAGCCTGTTCTGACCAGGGCGGAGAGTTCTGTTATCATGTTAACCTATTTTTATTCATTTATTTCTGTTCTCCTGCAGTATCAACGGTTTAACCTGGAGCTTTGCTCTGCCGCTCAGCTATACACTCAGCCCTTAGTTTCCTGAGATCTTGCTATGTTGCTCTGGCGGCCTCAAATTCTCCGTCTTTCTGCCTGTGCCAGTTGAGTGCGCAGGGGACAGGTACATATCACTATACCTAGCCCTTCTCTCCACTTTGAGTCACTATTGAACTATGATTTCATTATTTCATCCATAGGACACCTATAGGAACACGAACACACACACACACACACACACACACACACACACACACACTCACGTACTTCATAATCTTAAACAAATAATTGACAAAAATCTAGTAAGACAGATATTAAGTAATAGATTTCCTAAGAGAAAACAAATCATTTAGGGTAAGTTTCCCAAACACAAGACAATTGTCAGTTATGGGTATTTCTTGTGGAGTCCAAGAGGGCAATGCAGAATGTTTCAATGGATCTTAAGCTCAAAGACACTCATGCCATCCGCATCAGAGAAGCATCTCATTGGTGGCCGGAGATTAGCACTAATTTAATTTCCTTCTTGAAATGATGGAGCATGGCTTCTTGAGAAAATGAAATCTACAACCGGGTTATCTGTTACACTTAATATTCAGATGGAATCCTCTAACAGGCCACATTCTACTTCCGTGATTCATTCTTTTTAATTGGCATAATTTCAAATCACATTATTAAATAAAAAGCAGCCATCTAGTTAAGTTCAGTGGCTGCAGCTATGTTAAGTGGTTTGATTTTTTCCTGGTAGCAATGACACATCCTGGCTCGCAGACCCTCACTAATCGTTATTTCCAGGTAGTGAATGAATCACGGTGTGTGATGGGATGCAAAAATCATTTCCTATTCACTCAGGTTAGTGCTCTGTGTTCATTTTTTTTTTCACCCTTTGGCCAACTGGAGAAAACATGAAGAGGATTTAAAATAAAATTTCACTGTATGTGCTTGGTTTTATTTTGAAATCATTACCCATGCACACTTGGTTTGACACAAAAGAAATGAGTGCAAAAGGAACCTGCTGCTGTCATCACACACAAATGCCAAGGAGCATGGCCTTTAACATACTAGCATACACCTGGCAGAGGCCCTATGCCATGCCACTAGGCATGCTACTAGCACATGTACCTAGAAGTGCTTGTCCTCACTGAGGTTCACCGTGTTCCAGTCAGACAGAATAGACATCATCCACCCAAGCCAGATATCTACCATTTTCCTATCCAGTCTCAATGCAGATTTGCCTTGCTCCCCAAAGGTCAACCCATGCCTACCAGCATGACTTAAAGAGCCTAGGCCTTTGTTTAACGTGGTTGTTGAAGTATTTGCTTGAACGTGGCCTCCTGGAATCGCTTTCATCTCTAGGCTTCAGAGTGGACTGTGGGAAAGACTTGCTCCCTTGGAAGCCTGCAATCACACATTCTTTTGGGTTCCAGACTATGAAATTAGGAAGATCTATCACAGGCCAAGTCATCTTTCCTATACAGGCCTGATGTTTCTTGTCAGCCTCAGCCAGAAGATCGTTACGGCCTGACCGTGTGAAAAGGCTAAAATACAAGATTACGTCTCCAGAGTCCCAACAAATTTCACTCTGTTGGTAGGAACTTTCTTAAGTGTTTCCCTGTATTTTCACAGTGTTTGTTGACAGCTGTCTAAATAGTTGACTTGCAGTCTGTACTCGTCCTGTCAATGCTGAGAAGGACAATTCTGGAAAAAGAATCACACAGGGCCAGAACTGCCCTGGCCCCTGTAACAATCAAATCCATCCTGTGGTTTAATTCCAACTTCTTCCCTCCCGGATACACCTCAAACACTGAAGCCATTACCAGTCAGTAAGGCAGTCCTTGCCCTGAATGGCTATCCTTAGCCCCTGTACTTGCAAAGAAATCTTTTCAAAGCATTGGTTATATATGTCAGATTAATTAAACTTTAGAGACAGAATTCTTTCACACAAACTCAACAAGTGCTTAGCGGGACTTCAAAACAGGGGCAAAAACAGTAGAGGCCATAAACACAAGTATCATTTGGCTTTGTACAACTGGCCAAGTTCAGACAGACAGACAGACAGACAGACAGACAGACAGGAGCAGGACTTTTCAGACAATGAGGGTATGTTCCAGAAAAGGGCAGACGCAGGGTGGTAGGGGCACAGAGGACACATGTCAGCACAGGGTGGGAGGTACATTTGTGCCAGGGAAGGAGGGCGAGCAAGGGCTCCTAGGTCAAGGTTATGTTTACTGTGGAATCAACAGGGGACAGAAACTTTACACTTGCCCAGTTCCTATGAGGCTTTGCCCCAGTGGGGATGTAAGTCTGAGCCATGACGTGCACCCGCCTCCCCACAAAGATGAGCACTATTTGCTTTTAACATGGAATAAGGGTTTCAAAGGCACACAGGTTCGAAGCACAGGTGCACTCATGTTCATTAAATGTCGTACAAATTCCGGCCTGCGGTAATGACAAAATAAAGTAGACCAGGGTTCGAAAATGCATACCTTGGCATGATGTAAATCTACCCCATACATGGAGAGTTTTTTGGCGTTTTCCAAGAAATGCATCTCTGCTTCAGCTGGCGTCATCCCTCTGATTAGAAAAAAGTACAGTGTCACAATTTTTTCAACCAATTAGAACTGAAGATAAAAAGCAGTATGCCACCTCTGCTCCCTCATGCCAGTCTGCTGCTTTCCCTTTCCATGGTAGGCAGGGCTCACAAATATCCCACTTACCTCCCTCCTAGCTTGTAAAAAAAACCCCACTGGGAAACCAGTAGATACAGGTTTGAGCATCCCTAATTCAAAATTCCAAGTCTGAGATGCTCCAAAAAATTGAATCTTTTAACGCATTCATATGATGCTTGAGGCATTTTAAAAATACTGTATAAAGTTACATGGAGGTTGTGCATATTAGGCATTTATGAAACACAAATGAAATTTCCTATTTAGACTGTTGTCTCATCCCAAATAAATGTTACTATGCTCTATAACCATGCTATAGTCTGAAAAGGGCTGAAATCTGAAACGTGCCTGCTCCCAAGCATTGTGGGTAATGCACACTTAGCATATATGTGGGGAAACCATCTTGGGACACGCAGTTTTATAGGCACACTCACAAGTGACTGCCTGGATATTCTGCAAGCCTGGAGTCAGAACGGGGCTGAAGGCCCGATGCTCTGACTGCAGAGCGCACAATGAATGCACGCCTGCTCTGTGTACCTACCTGTGACTCTTGTGCAGCTCAACCACCTTGTCTTCCAGTTCTTTCGTGTGGTTTGGGGCAAAGCGGAACTCGCTGATGTAGTCGCTCCCGCACTCATCCGGGTCGTAGTCTCCAAGCTCCGACTGCACGGTGTAGGAGCCCAGCAGGGCAAGAGTCACAAACGAACAGGGCAGCCTTCCAGACACAATATCATCTCGCAGCTGCAAGCAGAGGTAGTACCTTCCAGGGGCCGGAAGAACAAAGAAAGCTAACATTAGGACGCACTAAAAGGAGGTGGAAGGGAGAGTGCAGGGTGAACGTGCTCTAAAAACATGATATTCACTCATGAGATTACTGAGAAATTAAGGAAAAGGAGAACATTTGGCATTGGTAAACCATTTCTTCCAGGCCAGTAACCTCTTTAAAGACACATTTGCATGCTGTTATAAGGATTTCCACTATAATCATTCTATATATGAAGAAGCTACTGGGCTACAAATAGTACTTAGGGAACCTAGAAGAAGGACTTTTTCATACTAGAGCAAGGCTTTATCAATCAAGCACAGAGTGGAAGACATTTGTGTTTTTCTAGCATTATGAAAATCAGTTGGGGTGAAGTGTAACATAAAAGGATGTTCTTATATAACACCACGGACCCCACGTAGCCTTCAGAAAGGGCCAGTCTTGAAACCTAGGTGACAGGTCTTGCCATGTAGCCAAGCCAAGAATTCTTACACACCCCACGGAAGACAGGATATGTGCATGAATTTACAAGTCCGAGCACACTTATTGTCCATAAACACAAATTAGTCATAACTAATTTACTTAGTCCTGAATGGAAGTATCTTTAGATAGATGAACTATAAATTTTCTCTAATTTCTTGCAAATATAAAAGAAATCCCTAGGACTGATCATTACTCTTTTCAAAGATTTTGGTAAAATTATATTTCAGTGCAGCAAGTGGAGGACACTGTTTGAAGTAATTCCTTTTCTTTGAAAAGCCTTCCAGAAAAGATGTGAGGCTTACATAGAAAATCATGTACACACAAGGCTAAGTCATTTTGGCCATAACCTCACTACCAAGGACAGGGAGGGATGAGGCTTCCAGATCACAATGCAGAACACTGTAAACGGAAAACCTATTTGCTAGCCAAATATCAAAGCCTAAATAGATGTCAGGTGCAGTTAGGTATGCCCTCAAGAGATGCAGCTTGGGAGAGTGGAAAGTTCCTGTCTATTGTAAGGCAAGTTGCTTGGGAGACATCTTGTGGTCTTTTTGCTCTATGACCCAAGGCAAAGTCAGCTGGGGGGTCTTGGAGCTACCCCACCATAAAGGTGAAATGGTTGGCGGGGTTGAGCTGCTGCCTTGGCTTAGGGCCTTCCACCACAATGTGCTAGTGCTGGGGTTCAGCCTACCAAGGGGACAGGGGAGGAGCTAGAGACTTCTTCGACAAGCAGTTGGGCCTTTGGTTGAGCTCTCTCTGTTTTCTTTAGCTTGGAAGAGCCTTTTTTAGGAGTTCAGGGTAAGAGATTGAGATCCTGTCTCTGGGCTTGTAGAAACAACAAGGGAAGCAGCTGGCAGGACACAGGAGAAACAGAATTCAAGGAAAGAGAGCTAAGGAACCCTCTTGGGTTTAAAGGGGCTCAAGAGAAAAGTAGACTAGCTCAGGAAAATGACACAGGTATTTCTAAAGAGCTAGCAGTTTGGTGGTAGAATCAGGCTTGTGAACACCTATCTTGTATATAGTTAAAAAAAAAAAAAAAAAAGAAAATCGCCTCGCTGAGCTAGCCAGTTTCTAACCTCAGTTTACGCCTCTCTTGTCTTTACTGGTATAAACAGTAGATAATTTAAAAGGATAAATATTACAAAAGACACGCAAACTGACAATGATGGTCTTGAATGTTTGTGTCCCTGTGTCTGCCCCCAAATCCAAAAACTGAAATGCTGGCCCTGCTCAGTGTGAAAGGTTGGGAGTGGGGCCTTTGAGAGATGGTTAGATCATGAGTGAGGAGCCTTCATAAATGCACTTAGTGCCTTTAAAAAAACTGCTACAGGAAGACTTTCTGGTGAGGACATAGTAACATTCTGATGTGGCCATCAGAATGGCCACAGGAGAACCCTTACCTTGAACTTCCAGGTTCCAGAACACATCAAGTAAATTTCTATTTTTAAACCGTAGTCTTTGGCATTTTAGGACACGAGCAAGAGCAGATTCCTTTCTGTGGGCATCCCCAGCAAAGGGCCATCAGGGCTCATGGCCTGGGGCAGCTTCCAGTGACGTGATTAAGGAAGTAGTCCAGCCAAGAGTACTTGACTTGTGACCTGATGTTGGAGAGTCTGCCCAGAGACCAACAACTAATGGAAGGCTCGGAGATGGTGTGGAGGAACCTGATTGGTTGCCCAAAGCTATCTATTGTGCTCTCTCTTTTGGAATAAATGAGTCTGCAGCTGCTCACCCTTGGTTTGCCCAGGGTCTGTGTGACGACTCCGTGCCCCTCACACCCCTAGGCCTGGAACCCCTGTCCTCACCCATGGGCTGGACCCTTGGGAGGAGGACCAACACCTTTTCATCCTCTAAGCTCAACCACCAAAATGTAATATTTGTATGTTAGATCCATTTCTTACCATCTCCCCAGCAAACAAATCCATCATTTCCATTTTATGTACACACGTGAAAAAGTCAACTCTTAAGTTTATTCACGCTGCCCTCCCCATGCCAGTTTCTCTCTCTGATAGTTAAGCAGCTATGAAGCATCAGGTTGGTTACATACAGAGCAAAAGCACTGAAGATGTTTGTAACTTAAGTTTTAAAACAGGCTCTCTCGCTGTCGTGGTATCATTTATGGCTGAATCCCACACAGTATGGCTGTGGCGGGTGGGTGGCTGTATCTCAATTCTGCATGTTTTCCTAGGACGGTCAGACGGATGGACCTATACAGCCTGTCGCTGAGGACTCCATTGTGGACAGATAGGATCTGGCAAGTCTTGGCACCTCACGCTTTTTGTTTGCCATCTGAGGGACTATGACTGTCGGGCTACCAGACACGTGGATGCTCTTCCTGGGAGCACTCACGGGATGCCTGGCTCTCCTAGAGTGCCTACCGTCCCCTCCCACAGCCAACTTCCAAATACCTGGTGATATCTTCAGATAGCTGGGCAGGGTCTGGTGGGTAAAATTTCACATTAAATGAGAAATGCCAAGCACCACCTGTGGGGGTAGGATAGAAATCAGAACAGAACCTTAGGAAACAACCATCTATTCACAATCTTAGTTCAAGGCTCAAAGCGCCTGATGTCAGGCATTAACACCAGACCTCTCTCAATCCCTGTTAAGCGAACTGTACAGATAAATTTCCAATCTTGTCCCCAGTCAAGTCACCTCACTGGCACTTTTAGGAAGCAAGGAAATTGACTAGGTTTCCTCCTTTCCTCATGACCAAAGACAAGCCTCTGCCAAATGGGGAGCGAAGAAAATGACAGGGTGACCCTGCCTCAGGTAACTGGAATTGGCTGGATTTCCTGCTGTGAACTTCTCTGTTCGCATGGCAAGCACAGACAGAGCCCTCATCTCCTAGGTCCTTTCTGCTTTGCTATTGCAGGTCGAATCCCATTATGGTTAATGTCAAGGGACTGGTGAGCATATACTTATTTTACTGGAAAGGTTTGTTGTGGTGAATGTTGTGTTCACCAAATGCGCCACTCTTCGGAAGACTGCCATTCAAGGGAAAGTTTTGATGTGCCGGATGTGTGAATGTGTTGGGTGACCGTCACCAATCCCCATCCACAACTCGCACGGCTCTCTCTCTCTCTCTCTCTTTTAAATTGTACCATGTTTTGCCCAAGGCATCTTTTGAGTCCTCTCCGGCAGCAGATGTTAGCCACTTCATTCTCTGCACTGTCTGTTCGTGTCAACCCTTAAAGCACTGCCTAGGTTTACTGAGTGTGTGGTTTGCAGTTAACGGTGTTCCCTGAAAGCTCATGTTGAAGGCTCGGCTCTCACTGTGCTTGTGTGGGGCCTTTGGGATGCGACTGGATAATGACAGCTCTAACTTCACAAATGGGTTAATCCACGTAGAGATTCATAGCTTCATGGGGGTGAGAGAAGGCACACTGTGATAAAGGTAAGTCACTCTCCCCCTCCTTCCTGGCCGCTCTCTACTGTCATGCTCTCTCTGCCACAATGCATTGTCAAGTCTCAGGCCCTGCAGCAAATGGGCCAAGTGACTATGGAACTGTGAGCTAGAGCACTTTTCTCCCGTGTATGTTATTACAGCGTTAGGCACGTCAACATAAACACAAAACAGGAATACACATTCTCAAGTTTATACTGGAGCAACTACGAAACCTTTCAGCGCATTTGCAAACAAGCAGAAAGTTTAAGGAGACAATAATACAGTCTACATGCCAGTCAGGGCCCCAAACAAAAAGCCAATGAAATGCGATATTAAACTAGAAATTAACAAGCAAGTAAAATTAAAGAGATGGGGAGAGGAGGGAGAGGAGAGAGAGGGAGGGAGGGAGGGGATGAAGTGGGGAAAGGAGGATGGGGGGGAAAGGAGGTGATAATCCATGCTCTGGGAAGAGACAGCCCTGCCTCTGGGTCAAAGGACAGCCTGGAGGGAAGCAGCAAATGAAAGAGCCCAACACACTGACGTAATGTGTGATGTAAATGTGTCGTCAGGATTTCAAATTATTAACTTCTGAGGAACAACAACAAAAAAACTGTCATAGGAAAAGTTTCTTAATCTTCATTGTCTGACAAATCTCAAAATTCTACAACTTTTTATATCGTAAATTACTGTATATCACACTCTTATTTATCATAAATTACCTGTGAGATAATATGCTATGCCCATTATACAGCAGATTGTGAGATTTTTATGATCTGGCTTAGATCATAAAAATGATCTGTCCTTCTAAGAACAGAACCTCCAGTACATAAATTTGTGACTTATGTACCCATCAGCTTGAGCTCCATTCTCTGAAAGATCACATTCTACCGATATGGTAGGTACTTGCCAGTAAAGAGTTTTTTTTTAAATGTATTAAACTTATGAAATTTTCACTAATATGAATAGGTGAAAAACAGTGTCTCGTTTTAATTTGCATCTAATCAATAGACTTACCAACCTGCCTAATATTATTAGCTATTTATTTTCCGGTTTTGTGGTGTGTTTATGGAATGGTCTTGTCGGTTGGGATGTAGTCAGTTTTTGTTGGTGGTGTGCTTCTGTCTCTTTGGGATGGACTCTTACTTAGTAGTCCAGGCTAGGTATTGAACTTGTGCTCTTCCTGCCTCAGCCTCCTCAAAGCCGGGATCCGCAAACACGTGCCAGGCCCAGCAGAAGTGTGCGTTCCTCTTGTCTTTAGGGAGAGAGGAAAGGCTGCCAACAGCAGACAACTGGTTTGTTATCCCCTTTCAAAATCACCAAATGGTTACTTCTAGCGTGGCTTTTGTACATTAGTGATGGTTTTAGCATTAATAATTAAGTTTGGAACTTTAAATGATTAAGTGGTAAGTGCAGCAAAACTTGATTAAATTGCATTTCACATCTGTGTAGAGGCAAGGACCAGGTCACCTGTCAAAGTCAGTTTAATTTCTGGGTTTTGATGACAAAACAAGCCCTACTGGAGCCAGACACATGTGTCAGATCAAATTCCAGCTTGCCATCTGTCTTTGAAACATTTCTTCTTCGTAGGAGCGACCACTTGAGGGTGGGTTAGCAGTTCACCCAACACCATCACCACGCCAAAAGAAACCAAAGGAACTTACTTCGAATCTGTTTTTTAATTTCCTTAGCGGGGTCCAACCAATTCTGTAAAATAAATAGCAATATGAGTCTGAATCAAAGAAGAAGAAAGGCCAATCTGATGATCAGACACGGACAAGCCCTAGTGCACGGACGGAGAAGTGTCATGGGGAAGGCCCTCTCCACTGTGGCTCTTCCCACACATCAGGTGGCCTCCTGTCAAGCCTTGTGAGGGCACAAATACTAAACAAGGAGGCACATGCATTTGTGGTTAATGCCTGATAAGGGTCTTCTCCTGGGAACTCCTCAGGTGTTCAATAATGAAGTCAGACATTGTCTATCGCTCTAGTAGGAAGATTCTTGACTTGTGTGCAGTAAAAACAAGTGATCCACAAAAATGGAGCTTTCACACCTTGCTTTTAGCATCTGCACAATGGAAAAAAAATTCCCTTCTTTGTTTCTTTCTTAGTCAGGGGATTAAGCTCTGAATAGATGCCATTAGTCAGGTGCAAACATCTAGAGATATTGCCTTAAACAATGGACACTTACTCACACACCAGACAAGTCAGCAAAAGTCATCCTCTAGTCATAGCTATGTCTGTGGCGTAGCTATAATTTCCTCATAGAATTTGAGGGCATGAATATGTTTTCCACATAAAAATCTAAATATTTGGTTTTCATGGGCTCAGGAAACTGAAACATGTTATGGGAAAAGAACCTCATCAAGTGCTTCCCGAGCACTGAATCTCAAGGATGAAAATTAGGACTGACCTACTGTTTAAAAAATATTCAAGGTCTAAGAAGTTTCTAAGGATTTTCTTCATAAAAATAAGGAGAGATCAATCACATTTAGGGACCCAAGGATGTGTGAGCATGGAGCAACATGAGACTTCAGGCTACTTCTGTATGGTATTACACAACCCAGACATAACGGTTCACAAGTTCTCTGACCTCTCACCTTCTGATTCTCAGCGTCTCGGTATGTGAGACCAAAGTAATCTTTTTCCAGCAGGTTCAGATGCTCGCACACTTTGTCAAACAGCACTTGTCCTCGGGAGCGCTTCTGCATAAAACGGAACAGGAAAACAAGTCAACCCTCAGAAAATCTCCCGAGGCTGAAATAAAACAGGGCAGCAGAGTGCGGAAGGCAGACGGCTGAAATGGGCCATTGAGTGGTAGACACAGTGGCAAGTCTGGCCAGTTGGTGACTTCCTGGTTCAGTGAGAGGTTCAGGCATCCCAGTCATCGGGTGGACGGGCAACACCTAGGAAACGAGCCTCCCAGCATCCCTGTGAGGACGTACCTAGACCACACTCGGCCTCTGAGTTACCTGTGAAGGACTGTATGAAGTAGAGTAAGTGAGGCAGGGAGACCGGATGAATGGTGGGTAGCACCTTTACATGGGTTAGGGGTCGAAAATTTGAATAAAAAGAAAAAAACTATTGAGGGGCTTTTGCTGAACCGCTTGAAGTTTAAGTAAGATACGAGACTTCCATATGATTTAACGCTTTGAGCCTCTTGCTGGGGCAGTCTTTCCGCTGGCTTCTAACATGACCAGCCCTCCCTGCACTGTGTCTCTGCCATGTGGCTAGGTCTTTATCTACCTGCCCGGCTTCAGTCTCCCTTCTGTTCCCTTCAGTGTCTCCTGCCTTTGCGTCCATCCCTCCTGCATCTCCACCTGCCCGGAAGTTCTGCCCCTGTACTTCCTGCCCTGTATTGACCATCAGCTCTTTATTATAACCAATCAGCAGTAAGACAATGCCTGATCCAGATCCACCTCTTTGGTTGACTTAAGGCACTGAGGGCTGCCTGATCTTCATCAATCGGGCAAGTGTGGATGGATGTGCATTTACAAACAGAAAACCTGTGATGGGCCTTTCAGAGATTTATCCCACAACAAAGCCATGATGCCATGATTTCTCCACCACAATAACCTGTACCCCCAAACAGTGAGCTGAAATGAACCTCTCCTTTCTTTTAAGTTGTCTTTGTCATGCAACCAGACAAATAATAATATTCTCTGTATCAGAAAATATGGGACAAAGTGATAAAGACAGCTGATGTTGACTTCTGGCCTTTAAACCCAGAGTCATGAATATGTAACTCCACACATGCACGCACACACACACACACACACACACACACACACACACACAGTGACCCTCATTCTATAAAAGCTACCTTTACAAATGAATATATCTATACACAAATGAATAAATAAATAAGTAAATAAATGTCAGCAGTGTCACCAAAGAAGGATAGGTGATGGTGGCAATTCTTATGGAGAAGCAGCTGAAGGGAGCATAGGATGCTCAGAGTTCAACTCCTCTGTGAATATAAAACTTCTGAGACTGGGAGGGAGAACACAAACAGCACTCAGAACACCATGTTCAGAATGTCCAGACTCAACTCCCTGAATCTTAGGACTCCAAGCCTGGGAAAAGCTAGCCCCATGCCTTATCACTTCAAGTTCCATCCCAATCCTTCCACAGCTTCTATGGGTTATCTTCCTCTAAGCTATGTTCATTAGTTTATTTTTGTAATTTTGTCATGACTTTCGGGCTTGTATAACGGTACTCAAAATCCTTTTAACTTATTTGAGAAGAAATAAACATGAATATAGCAAGACAAACAAAACATCCACTCAGCTTAAAGATTACAGTTAGGTCATATAAATATGTGGCACAGATGTGTATGCTCCACTTTGGATCTTCAAGCAGTCACCTAGAGGAAGGGGACAAGCTAATCGACTGTAGAAAATATCTGTCAGCTGAAGTATTGTGATAACTTTCCATCAATTTTTCATCTGATGCTTCAAAGGCCTTTAAACACAGCCCAGTCCGCAGTGCACGAACTGGCAACAATTAAGCTCAATTACTTTCTGGTCTGTGGTATTGATATTTTACATGCAATATGCTAGGCATATTTATCTTTGAGATTTGATGTATTAACAATGAGATAAAAGAAAATTGATAAACTATGTCCGTGACAAAATAATAACCATGCAAAGACCCATGAGTAGAGCCTGATACTGTGCATTTGTCATTATCCTGAAAGTTAATTACCCAGTCCTTCAAAAGCATGAGTGTTTGAAGAAAAGGATAAATTCTGATGAAAAAGTAAAGTGGAAATTATAGCAAGCCAAATAGGCAATGTTGTGTTCCACAAAGTAAGAAAAATAAATGCTGGTTAGCAAAACTGCAACATACTGCTCAGAAAATGTGAAAAGGGGAATGCTGCTGGCTGGTTTAAATATTTTACTTATAAATTATACTGTAATATTTCTGTATCGTGACTGAAACACTGAAGTTTTCACATTGACACTGATTCCTCCATTAGGGCAGCTCCTTCAGTAAGCTGACTTCTCATGCATTCTTGCTTTGACCTGAGAGGTGACACGGATTAGATCAGGTTCAGACAACCTGGCTGACTGCCTCTTTTCCTGTTTATCAAAACTGCTTTGTATTAATGACTCATAACTCTCGTTGGAATGCTCAATATCTTTTCTTATTGAGTATTGAACATATCTTGTTCATGGTATCATCCCTCATGGAGATGATACTTTGTTTTTGGCCTTAAGAATCTTTAAACCACTTGCTGGGCATCTCCTGTAGATGGTATGGGCTGGAAACAATGACATTCCTACCTGCTAAGTGTCAGCATGGCCACTAGAAAGGTGGTGGCTCTGGGATGTTTGTAGTTTCTCCATTTTCTCTTTTCTGGGTGAGAGACTTGATGGTGGAAGGTGAGGATGGCTGTGAGGCTATGACTCACCCCTGCCCCCATGGCTAATGGCTCATGACTAGATTTAAATGCTTTTCCTTGATCCATGGCTCTCTGGCACCTCCACATTCTGATGACAAAGAAGCTGCTAATGGTGAGAGCTAGGATCTGACTTCAAGCTTGTTTTCTGAGCCTAGACTGGATCTTCTCCGAAATTCAGGTTCTGACGAGAAGAAGTGTTGGTTTTTCCAACTCAGACATTTCTTCCCTAGCAGATTATTCAACTTGTCAACTATTCCTACTTACTGACATCTGGATATGCTTACACATCAGTTACTTTCCCGCTGCTGTGATAAAATACCACAAATCAAAAGCAACTTAAGAGTTTACTGTGGCTTAAAGTTCCAGGGGTGCAGGTGTCCATAATGGCTGGAGATGAGGTATGGCACGGGAGCAGGAAACGAGAGATCATGTCTCATCAGTACACAGGAAACAGAGATTGCACCAGGGGTGGGGCAAGGCTACATGTTCTCAAGGCCTGCCCCCAGTGATATACCCTAAAGTTCCCATAAGGTCCCCTAAAGCAATGACAGCTGGGACCAAGTGTTCAAGACCATGGTGGGGGCAGCTCTCATTTGAAGCACAACTTGAAAAATACACGGCTGAAGCTCAACAGATGAGAAGTTTCAGAGAAGAAGCTGCTTTGTATGTTATAGCTCTCAAAAAGCATGCTCTTCATTAAGTGACTGAATATCGGTGCTCTGTCACTAGACGGGGTATGTGATGCCTAAGGTCAACTCTTGCCACCGTGTCTTCTTCACCTCAAACTATGAGCCGGAACAAGCCACTCCTTTCTAAGTCACCTCTGCCCAGTTACACCGTCACAGCGATGAGAAAACAAATGGAAACGGGAGTATAGCTAGCTATTCAAACAAGTAAATTAAAATAATAATAATAATAATAATAATAATAATTAAAAAATAATAAAAATAATCCAAATGAATGGATTAGTTACCTAAGCAGGTAAGATTAAGTTCCAGTCTGTGGTCTCTTGTGAGGTGAGTCATTGTAACTCACTCAGGTCATTCCTTGCTCACACACAGCACTTCCTGGTGACCAGGCAAGTGTCCCTCCCACCCCCCAACAGAGCTACCTGCCCAGCGCGCACACAAATGCTTCTACTGTAGAGCTTGCTATTTGATGGATGAATGAACGAAGGCAGGGTAACCAGTGCGATGGTCTCTTTGCTAAGAGCAGGAGCAGAAACAACCATTCCTAGCCAGGGACTGGGATGACTGACACGATTCACAGGAAAACCCTGTCTCCCCCCAAGGAAGAAAGAGCAGCAAAAGTGGAGACAGCCGTGGTCAATGGCGCCTTCTCAGAGAGCATGATTTCCGTACATTGGAGCAGCTGGAAATAATTTCTTAATTTGTGTCTGAGAAGAAGAGTACAAAAGTAGTAACACAAAGTTGCACTTAGTCTCAGCCCAAGACATAAGGTAGGAATGGGTGCAAGTGAGGCCCTTTTCCAAAAACAATAAACCCGAAGTTGGAGAAGTCTGTCAGGTCAAACGTCATCTTTTGCTTGAGGAACCGGGCTGCTGAAATGAGCAGGAGCACTTTTTCGGGAGAGCATGGGGCTGAGCACCTAATTCTCAGTGGCGAGACCGGGAGCCACACGAGATGTGCATGCCACCAGGCTGTCTTTACAGATCTGACACAGTGAAAATGAGACAACCACAACCACCAGCCACTCCCCAAAGACCACAAACAAAGCACAAACACACCGTATCTGTAACAGCCGAGGCACAAGCCGCTTCCTAATATAAAATAATTAGAGCGACAACAATGCTGAGAATGATCAGGAAAATCGATGCTTTTATGGCCTTTCATCTCCTCCAAAACCGGAAGAAGCCTCAGCTCCATTGTACCTCACTCACTCTGTCTTCCTCAAGCAGCCTGCCAGCTTCTCTGGAGGTTCCCCTCCGTGGTGGTGGTGGTGGTGGTGGTGTTTGCATTTCTGCCGCCTGAGGACAAGAAAGCTCACTCTTTCTACTGCCCAGTAAGCAAGTAACTGTCCTCTGGGCCAGAGAAGCCCTCTGGCTGAATTTGAAGAAAGAGTTCCTGCTCCAATACTTTGGATTAATCTTAAGGCAAACTGCCACCTTAAAAAAAAAATGTCTCCCCCAGTGCTTTCTTTCCTAATTGCATTTTCCTCACTGGATGCTTCAGTATTTCCCTCATTTCTCAGGGTCATTTGAAACTTCATTTTTAAGTGATCACATTACTACGTCCCCTAGGCCCAAGAGTTCATGAAGAAGTCAATAAACTCCCTGTG